AAGGCTTTAATTTGTGCCTTAACTTGAAACAGACCCACTCCTGGTAACAGCAAGTAAGTTTTGAGGGGGGGGGGAATCAATTCTACATATTGTGTATCGGATCTTCAGTTTCATTATTACCCCCAACTCTCCCACTCACATTATGAGTATTGGGCTAACATCCGTGAAACCTGGTGGTTGTCCCACCCCCCACCCCCCATTGCTCATGCTTAGTGTCTAGACCCGAGTGCTTTGTGTGCAGTGCCGAACTGCTAAGTCTGGCATGGGAACGGGGTACATGTTGTCACAGGTGATTTTTCCAATAAGCCAAGGACATTCTGACTCAAACTGATAACTTTTGTGCCACTTTCGCATCGTGCTTGTTTTTGACTGACATCTGATAGTAATCTTCATATATGCTGTTCACATTGTTGTTTGTCCTTTGACCCACCAAGTAGGGCCTCCCAACCTGTCTTGCCACTCACCTCCTCTTTTCTGGCCCTCTTCTCTGAGTACCCCCTTTGCCTGCAGAGACCCCTCTGCACATTCCTCCTTCATCCACGTGGCAGGGCAGGGCCTCGTTCAGAGTGCCCACTGAGCTTACACTACTTTCTCTCCTACAGGACAGGGGAAGACCTGGATCCTGAGATACCATTTAAGATCTGAAAACTAATGAGAGCTATTCATCGTTAGCATATCCAGCTCCGCTCTTGCATTTGCATATTTAATCCCCACATGTGCGGATTATCGTAAGGGATGTCTACAGAGCAGAGCCCTTCCTCTGCCTTAGAAGGAAACCCTTTCTACATGGTGCATTCCAGCACTTAAGATTCATCACTGTTCCAGCCCTCAGGGTCACTTCGATCTCTACTAGGCTAAAATAAATGCAGAGTAATATTTTAAGCTACAGATCGCTTAGTCTTAAATTGGGGGGCGGGTTTTAAAAAAATGACTCAGAGCACAAGTGGAGGCTTGCCACCTATTGGCAGGCACAGAACTTGGCTTATTCTTCCAGGTTTATTATCCTGTGCTTTGGGACAGAATACAAGTCAGTTAAGGTCTTACCTATAGCTTGTCTCCATTACAGGGTCATCTGTGAAATTCCCCAGCATTGTTTTTCGTTAAAGCTTTCTAAAATGCATTCAGAATATATCTCAAGAGTTCCACACCAGTGAATATGGAATAGTTTCTTATTAGATCCAGCTATGAAAACATCTGAATAAAATAATTTCAAGACTGGCTAACTCAGTCTTGTTGTCGGGAGTTCATTATGAGATAGCCTCTTGCCTGGAAAGCAGGGAGATGGAAAAGTCCCAGCCATAGCCAGCACCCCACCCCCACCCCCATGAAAGAGCTATTATATACACCCAGCGCTAACTTTTAAGTGGTTGATCCTTAGTGTTAGAAAGAAAGCCATGCTGCCTAGTGCAGTGTGTGGTGGCTCACGACTTTAATCCTCAGGTGAATTTCTGTGAGTTCAAGTCTACCCTCTACATAGGCCAGCCAAGGCTATGCAGTGAGACCTTGTCTTAAAAAAAAAAAAAAAAAAAAAAAAAAAAACAAAAAGAAAAAAAAACAAAAAAGTAGACAGAGTAGCTAAAATGAGTTATTTCATCTTTGAATTTGTAAGTCTTTTCTGCAGTCTGAAGATTGGTGGCTACCTAGAACTGATAGTACAATAAGGTATTGCACAAAGAATTTGAGTTTGAGGGTTGTGTTCTCATCCTGAGTGTTCATTCATCCATTCACATTCATTTGTCCGGCAAATATTTTTTGAGAACTTGCATGAGCCAGTCATTATCATAGGAGTCAGGGAGGAAGTGTGAGCAGAGTGGGCAAAGACCCTGAGAGAGGCCCTGAGAGACAGTGGGTGTAAGCAAGCATAGCCGACTTAAAGAATACATGGGAAATTCTAAGCAGTGTAGATAGAAAAGTGTGTGTGTGTGTGTGGGGGGGGACGGTTGGTTGCTCTTTTCATACACAGCGTTGGGAGAAGGCCATCACCCATCCCTGGCTTGACTAAGAATGTAGGAGGCTGGAGCAGGAGCCTGCTGGGTAGGTGGGAAGACCGACAGGGTTTCTGGAGGCCAGGTAGGCGGATGTGGGCAAGTGGCAGATTAAGAAAGAGGCTGTGTGAGTGGGAAAGAGTCCCTCAGGATGGGCCACTGTAGAAACCCAGCTTCAACTCTGAGTATGGCGGAAACCTTTACAGGGCTTTTCTCTGTTGTTTGAAAAACATTGAGCATAGATGCTGGTTAGGGAATGTTGGGAGGGGGCGCAAAGGCAGGATTGGGGGTCCCTAAATCAGAATTCTTCTCTGGGCTTTCACTTCCTCATCTGCCAAACAATGGGGTTCCCTCTAGCCCAAGAGTTTTAACATTTTAGGTCATGTGGAATACTTCTTCAGGGAGGCAAGGAGAGCATGCGGGATGCAGGATGTTCTCAATGTAAAAGCTTCAGATGATCTGAAAACTTGACACCAATCCACTGGGAGCCAAATCACCCCAAAATCAGAGAGACTGGGTCAGGCCACAAGAAAGAAAACCTGAGCTGGGCATAGTGGTACATGCCTGCCTTTAATCCCAGTGCTAGGAGGCAGAAAGAGGTAGCTGGCTATGTGTTTGAGGCCAGCCTGGTCTTTGTAGTGAGTTCCAGCCTGGCCAGGGCTATGTAGTTAAATCCTGTCTCAAAAAAGAAAAAATGCTTTGAATATTCCCTGCTCATCACTTTCAGACTTTTCTGATCTCTAATTTCCCTTCCTGCTTGAAACGGGACCAAAAGTTGTCATTTGTCCGCAGATCTGGCAGCCAGAGCAGCTTTTGTTGTCAGGAAAATCTGGAACTTTCGAGAAGGAAACAGTCCTAATTTTTGTCCATCACAGACCATTTGAGTTTTGTTGCTGTTGTTTTTGAGGCAGGGTCTCTCTATGTAGCCCAGACAGTCCTGGAACTCTATCTGTAGATAGCCTTGAACCTACAGAGATCTGCCTGCCTCTGCAGTGCTGGGATTAAAGGCATGCACCACCACTACCCAGCCCCCATTTGAGTTATTTTTATCACAATCTAAAATATTTCTTTTGTTTTCAGTTTTGTTATCCCACTCACCTGCCCCATGTGTTCTTTGGAAATGTTTTTAAAGATTTACTTATTTCATATATGTGAGTGTTTTGTCTGTATGTGTATATGTGTACCACATGCACGCCTAGTGCCAGATCTCATGGAAATGGAGTTAAAGTTGGTAGTGACCCACCACATGGGTGCTAGGAATTCAACCCAGGCCCTGAGGAGCAGCAAGTGCCCTAACCCACTGAGCCAGGCATGGCTCCAGCAACCGCGTCACCCCCTCCTCACAGGCCCTCTTTTCAGTGCATTTCACTGTGTGTTTTGTTCAAGTGGGATCTTGCACTCTGTGTTTTAACATTAATGCTATGGCTCTTCTTTTTCTCTGTTGGGGTGTGTGCTCCTGCTTCACACGCCACAGTCGCCTGTTCTCTGCATAGCAGATGAACGCTCAGGGTGACCTGCTCACCCGAAACACCACAAATAATAACAACTGTGAACACCTTCTCCTATGTGAGTGCTTACAAAGCCGTGTAACTTTTCTGAGGGCTGTAGGCTTAGAAGGAGGACACTATTGCGACTGAGTAAATGATCCCAGACTCATTTCTGCAATAGTGTCCCGGTCTCCATCCTGCCAGAAGTATCTTCGTCGTCATGTTTCACCAGCATTCATCTTTGTGCACTTTTTTCTGATCTTGTAAGTCCAACATGACTGCTTGTTATTTTAGTTTGGATCTTTGTATTACTAGTCATTTTGAGCATCTCTTTGACATGCAGCTTCCTGTAAATTCGAGCCCTTTCTGTGTCATTCATTGATGTGTGTGGTGTCATGGTGTGCATAATTGATTGTAATGGAGATACTCCTGGACACATTTACGCTTTGCCACTGTCTTCTCATCTGCTCTGTCTATTTTCATTTGCCCTTCTTTGGTCAAGATAAATCCTTAATTTTATATTATCAAATAATCTATTTAACCTATGTTTATACATCTCAGATAAAACAAAACAAAACAAAAAACTCCATCCTGGGGCTGGAGAGATGGCTCAGTGGTTAAGAGCACTTGCTGTTTTCCTAGAGGACCTGAGCTCGGATCCCCAGACCCACAGTGGGCAGCCCCTAAGCACCAGAGGATCTGATGCCCTTTTTGACCTCTACAGGCAGTGCCCTGACGCGTGCTTGCACACACACACACACTCAGAGAGAGAGAGAGAGAGAGAGAGAGAAGAAAGGAATGAAGGAAGAAAGAAAGAAAAAAAGAAAAGTAAGTTGATGCTTTTCTTTATTGAGCCATGGTCCCCTTCCCCCTTCTCTGTGATTTCCATGTCAAGCTGTTCTGTAGCTCCATGCCTATCCTACTGATCTGTAGTCCTATGCATGTTGTGTCCCACTGGTCTGTGGTTCCACTCATGTTTTATCCTGTAACATGATAAATAAATGAGAGACTCATATTGGGGCTCAAACTTCAAGCTGAAGATCGGAAAAGCAAAGTACCTGGCCACTAGCTCTTACAGATACCTCAGGCTGAATAGGCTGATCCTGCTGCTTCTCCTCTGTGTGGCTGGAGAATCCTGAGACTGAATGTCTTCCTGTTCTCAATGTGGCTGGAGAATGAATGCCTGATACTGAGACCTTGCTCCTGTCTTTTATATCTCCCCAGTGCTGGGATTAAAGGTGTGTGATCCCAGGTTCTGAGATCACCTTTGTGTGAGCTGTTTCTCTTTGGGACTGCATCAATCTTGGGTAGATCTGGGTGTCCCTGGACTCACAGAGATCCTTCTACCTCTTAATCCCGAGTTCTAGGATTAAAGGTGTGTGATCCCAGGTTCTGAGATCACCTTTGTGTGAGCTGTTTCTCTTTGGGACTGCATCAATCTTGGGTAGATCTGGGTGTCCCTGGACTCACAGAGATCCTTCTACCTCTTAATCCCGAGTTCTAGGATTAAAGGTGTGTGCCACCACCTCCTAGCTTCTGGCTGCTGGAATTAAAGATATGTGCCTGGCTTCTATGGCTTGTGGATGACTTTGCTTTCAGAATCCTCAGGTAAGCTTTAATAAATTATAAATAATATATCCCCACATTGTTCCACTAGTTTGTAGTTGCATTGGTCTGTGGTTCCATGCATGTTGTGTCCCACTGGTCTGTACCTCTCCCTGCAGGTTTTGTTGCTCTGCTTTTTATTACAATGACGTCATCATTATCATGTGTTGACTCATTCATTTTAAAGCTTATGTAACTGTTCCTGGACCAAAGTTTACTTTTCCTTATAAAATCTGGAGTAAATTTATTAAATTACTCAGAAATGATATTTTGAGAGAATTTTTTAATTGGGATTATATTAAATTTGTAAGTTATTTTGAGTAGGCTTGATATCTTTTTAATGGTAACATGTTCTACCCAAAAGCATGTAAGATGTCTCTCCACTCAACTCATTTTCTAACTTGGAAATAATTTAAAACTAACAGAAGAGTTCTAAGAATAGTACAAAGGGCTCCTGTGTGTTTCTTCTCTAGAATAACCAAATGTTAGCACCCAGCCATGGGTGCATCCTCTCAGCGTGTCTGCATGCTTCCCTGATCCTTTGGAGCGGGGCACAGTCTCTATCGACTTTTACCTCTAGGTACTTCATCGCCTCATGTTTAAGTCCTTTATCCCCAGGCCCCACAGGTCAAACTCAAGGACTTGTGCACACTAGGCAAGTACTCTACTGAGCTGTCCTCAGGCCCTTTATTACAGGCCTTGAATCCCTTCATGAAACCCTACAAGGGCATTCTTGATACTTCATGTTTTGATCCTATTGTGAATCATATTTCTTCTAATTATTTTCTAGATGGTTATCAGTAGTTTAAGATGCTTAGCATGGCCTTTTCTCTCATCTTCTGTGCCAGCTATTAAATTCTGGCTCTCTGCTGTTCTGAAACAGAGGGCAAAGTCTCGTTTTATTAGGAACAATATCTTTTTTATATACTTAACCTTGGCCATCCTTGTGGTGCTACAAAATATACAAACTAGGAAATTGGTATTTCTCAGTTCTGTATTTTCTTTCTCTCTTTGTTAAACCAACAGCACCCAGGTGTCTCCCATATAAGGACTACCAAGCCTGGCCCTGCTTAGTTTCCCCAGTCAGATGGGCTGAGACACATTTAGGATGCTGCTGCTGTAGACAATTCTGTATTTTCTTGAAATTTTTATTACTGTTCCACACAGTATGTATTATCAAGCTTTTGTGAAAAGAAATTCAAAGGATTTCCTCAAAACTAGAGTTGGAGTGCGAATTGTATATTAATATTGTGAATAGAGTCATAGTCAGGCTTGGTGCAATCCCGAGAAACAAATGATGTGTCCTCCAAAGCCCCTCTCTGTGCCATGAAGCCTCTGTGCAGGGAACCCATCGGCAAAAGTCCACTGGCTGCTTGACCGAGTCTATCAACAGTATTTCAAAACTATTAACAGTAATAGTAATAAAGTAATCAACTCTGGCAGAAGTAGGCTGATGTCAATGAACCCAAGTCTATACAATCTGTGGTTCCTGATTGTTCTAAACAGACCTTGCCTTGTGTGTAACAGCCTTGCTTCTCTGTGTCATTCACTTTTACTTCCAGCTTTTTTTTCCCCCCAAGTAGTTAGTTATATCCTTAAAACAATGGTTTTGTAGCTTCTTTCCCATCCTTTTATATCTTATTTCTTTTTCTTTTCTTATGGCATTGGCCAGGGCTTCCAGGACTGCATCACAATGTTCCCCCAGAGACATCCTTGACAACTTGAAAAGAAGGAATCTAAATTTTCCCATTCTGCGTAGCATTTGTTCATTTGTCTAATATTTGGTAGGTTTTGTTTTGTTTTAGACAGGGTCTCGCTACGTAACCTTGGCTGGTCTGAAACTCTTATATGGACTAGGCTGGTCTCAAACTCACAGAGATCCACCTGCTTTTACCTCCCAGTGATGGGATAAAAGTGTGTGGGTTTGTATGTGTGCCCTTTATCAGGGGCAGGTGTTTCCTCCTGCTTGTAATTTATTGAGCTTTTCTGTCATGGGCAGCTGGATAGATGTTAAACCTTATGGAAAACCTTGCTTGATTTTTCCTCCAGGAAATCAGATGGCTTCACTCTGGCTGCAAGCCCAAATCCTAAGTGTTATGGTTAAGTTGTTACTAGCCACACATAACTAAGAATCCTCCATATTTCTGCACTCTACATCCATTAATGTGTGGTCAAATCTCAAGAGCCTAACATAAGCTTGTTCCACAGTGAGGTCACGTTTGCTGTGTGAAGGAAGAGTCTTGTTCAGCATGACACATGGAGTGGTCAGTGTGATTGTCAATAAAGACATAAAACACCAGTTCCCTTACTCTGGGTCAGTTTCCACTCTAGCTGTAAGTCTGAAGGCTCTTTCAAGAAAAACTGCAGGTAGAGATGTAGGTGGGTCTTCAGTGACAGTTACGATTGTTGGTGAATTTAGTTACCATTGTCCCTTCTCTCCCACTTTAGATCAGTATTTCCCCCCATAATCATTTAAAAACTACATGTATTAAACACAGAAGTTTGTAAAATATAGAAAAGCAAATCTATAATCCCAGCTTTGGTGCCAACCTGTTAATGGACTTTTTCACTCCCATCTTGTTGTGGAGGCCGGGATGGACTTAAACCCAGGTTTTCAGAGCCCAGGTTTTCAGAGCCTTCTTCCTTTTTCAGGGTTAAGCTGAGCTCACTTTGGCCTCATCTTGGTCCCCTGGGAAGGATCAGGCTCTGATTAGCTTTAGGTGTGGGGAGAAGCCCCAGGGAACCACCATGCTCTGTGCACCAAGCTCAGCATTGTAGTTGGACATGTGGCATCAGTGGTCTAGATCCCAACAGAGCATGTCCCAAATCCAGAAGCAGGAGGTACCTGTTTGAGGATTTGACCCTTGAGCATCAATTCAGTCCCTGGTTATTCTTCTCTTCAGACCACATTTTCCCTTTTCGAAAAATAAATGAAATAAAGAAAATAGTCTTTTTTTTTTCTTTTAAGTCAAGGTCTGGACTCTGCCTTCTGGACTTGCTATGTAGACCAGGCTGGCCTGGAACTTGCAAGGATCCTCCTGCCTCAGCCTCCCAAGTGCTGGAATTGCAGGTATGCAGTATCACACACCTAGCTTTTTGTTTTGTTTTGACTCTAAAATGAAGCCCCACATATTCAGTTTGTTTCCCTAACCTCTGTCTGTCTTGTGATCTGTCCTATGTGGACACAAGATCATTTAAATAGTAGGAAGTGAGCAAATTCCTGAGTTAACATTCTTATCATCAGCAAGTTTAATTCCACACAAGTGTGCTTCCTCCTCATGCCCATCCCTTCATCCTGATTTGCTGGAATGTTTGTTCCCAGTTTGTATTAACCCTTGCCTCTTTCTGGAATGCAGCTGATGTCTTACTCACCTCTCAAGAGAAAGAGAGCTCTACAAAGACAAGATTTTTTTTTTCTGCCAAGTTACCCCAGGCACCTCCATCACTGTGCCTCTACGAATGAATCTGTCTTGTGACCCAGAAATAGGAAACCTACAGGGGGAGGGGATGAGAAAAGACAGTTCTCAGCCTCCTTCTAAGGTGAGGGTGGGTGAGGTAGTGGATCCCATTTCTCCTTGATAGTGTGGGCCAGGCCAAGCACACTGTCCACCCAGAGAGGCACTGTCATGGTTCCAGCCTCCGCTGGGGGCAGGGAGGGCATGCTGCCTTTTCCTGAAAGCAGAGTAAGGATTTGCGATGCTGACAGCCATGATGGGAGAGGGACCAGGAGAGAATGCCTGGTGCTGACGCTCCAGCCATGGGTCCTGGGCTGTGTGCACACTGGGCATTGTTCTCAGGCTGCGATTCTTTTAGCATAAATGAGCCTGCCCCATCAGCAGAAAAAGTTGCAATGGATGTGCCGAGCTGTGCTTCACTCCCCAGCCTCACACCCCATGACCTCCCCTTTCTAGTTTGTTCTCTCCTCCCATCCCTAGTAAAGTAGACACTATTTTGCCTTATCTGTTGTTTCTAACAATAAGTATTATTATGAATCTCACTCTGGGCTGTTGGACCTCATAGACCAGAACACACAGACATAACACCATGTGGGATATTAGCAGACACCTGCTACAAGGACTTGATAATACTGTCCCCAGGCCAGTGCAGGTATGGCCCCTACCTAGTGCTCAGCACTCCGGCTACTCAGTCATGGTCAGGTCCCAAGCGCTGCTGCCCTGGTGTGGTTCAAAGTTGCTCCTGTATACTCATTTCTTTCTGTGTCCTTACTTTCTCCCAAACAACAGGTCTCTCTCTCTCCTGCCACAGTAAACATGGCAACAAGTGTCTTATTCTAGTTATCCTATGCTATCTGTCTCACTGAGTTTCATTAGCTGACCAAATTCAAATGAAAGGAAGCTAGAAGTGAGGGTGGCCCATGCTTGTAAGGAGGATTGCAAGTTCAAGACTAGCCTGCTTTATGTGGGGAGACCTCATCTCCAATGTAATATGATATGATAATATAATTAATTTAATAATATGCCAGCAGTGAGCTTGTTAGCCAGCTCAGGATGATTATGTGGGAGATAATGCTTTAGCTCTGTGTTTAATGTTGAGAAGCTCGACGTACCTTAGTAAGGAACCTTCTGTGAAGTTATCTTGCCGACTGTAACAGATCTCTGCCCATCAGACTTGGATTAGTTTATCTGCAGAGACCCTGTTATTTGCTGTAGTGCACCAAGGCCAGCAATGGCTAGCCTGAAACTCATGGGGGTCCAGTCTCAGCTTCCCACATGCTAGGATTACAGACACACACCATCATTTAAAAAATTAATTTAATACATGTATTTGTTTGCATATGTGTGTCTCTTGTGAGCTCACATGTACAACGTGCACTTGTGGAGGTCCAATGACAACAATCTTCAGGTATTGGTCCTTGCCCTTCCATCTTCTTGAGGCAGAGTCTTCTTGAGTTGCATAAACCAGGCTCACTGTGCTACCAGCTTCTGGAGATTCTCCTGTTTCTGTCTTCTGCCTCCTGTTGGGGCATGCTGGGATACAGCTGT